TATTATGCTGTTTCGAACCTTATGTTCTATTGAATTTCAAGGCCCCTGTAGCGGAAACGTGAATTTGTCAGGGTCAGAAAATTGTATTTTTGCAATCTACGGTCCATATATAGGCTTTCTGTCGATGCCTTATTCGTGCATCTGGTTACGTCCGTGGACCAAATAAGCAGGTTTTCCCAGCCGCAAGTGTAATCGAAAAAGACGTGAAAGTTAATATTATGCTGTTTCGAACCTTATGTTCTATTGAATTCCAAGGCTGCTGTAGCAGAGTTTTGAATTTGGGCTAGTCTGAAAATTATATTTTTGTAATCTACGGTCCATAGGCTTTCTGTCGATGCCTTATTCGTGAATCTAGAGACGTCCGTGCATGGACAAAAAAAGTAGGTCTTTCCAGCCGCATGTGTAATCGAAAAAGAGGTGAAAGTTAATATTATGCTGTTTCGAACCTTATGTTCTATTGAATTCCAAGGCTGCTGTAGCAGAGTTTTGAATTTGGGCCAGTCTCCTTACCGCTAGACCATCTCGCCTACACTTGATTTAACGCCTTTTTTATGCTACTTAACTCTTTGTCGTCACGGGTGGAATTAATTAACAACCATGCCTGACATTAAAAAGCTTTCTACACAAACTGAAATCGATCCTGGCTTTACGCACTTGCAACACTTCGTCCTTACCACTAGACCGTCTCGCCTACACATGCTTTAACTTCTTTTTTATTCTACTTAACTCTTTCTCGTCTCGGGTGGAATTAATTGACGATGCCTGACATTAAAAGGCTTTATGACTACAGCAGGAATCGAACCTAGAGCTTCACGCACTTGTAACATCTTGTCCTTACCACTAGAGCATCTCGCCTACACTTGCTTTAAGTTCTTTTTTATTTTACTTAATTTAACTCTTTCTCGTCTCGGGTGGAATTAATAAAAAACGATGCGTGATTTTAAAAGGCTATGACTACAGCGGGAATCGATCCGTACTTCTTCCTCATGCAACACCAGGAGACTACCACTCGACTAGCAGATCTATTCAGTTGTGGAAACTATACTAATATCTACGTAATCCCTCATGACCAAATTCCATTAAAAAAAATTAAATCGCCAAAAATTAAAGGCCTGCGCCTTTCTTTTTGGCACGCAAATGTAGCTTAGTCTAAGTGTAAAAAAATGGACGAATCCCCCCCCCCCCCTCTTTTTCAACTTTTATGCCAATCTCTGCACCATTTTTCAGAAATCATAACTGTACTCTTACAAAAATTTAAAAAGCTAACCTGTACTAAGGTAACCTAAGGGGTTACCTTAAGTTACGGCCTACGGAAATTGAAGGGGGTAGCCTTTACTTTTTGTCTTTTTTGGCCTATTTTTAGGAAATAAATAAGTACGAGCAACAAAATGCAGCAACTTGCAGTAAAATCTGATTTCAACGTACGTTAATTGGAAATTTGTGCTAATGTTGTCTCGGGTGTTGCAACAATTCAATTAACATGCGTTGAAATAAGATTTTATTGCAAGTTGCTGCAATTTTGTTGTTCCTATTACTTTACCTTAAGGGGTCAACCCTAACTTTTTGGCCTATTTTTTAGAAATAAAACAGTCTAAAATGGATGAAATACTAAGCGGTTAGCCTATACATTTTTGTAATTTCCCCTCGCTTTTTCAAGGACAAGGGCAAAAATGGACGAAATATGAAAGGTTAGCCTGACCGAGTATTTCTCAAGAACTGACAAATCAATTAAATAATTTCAAGAAATCGACACATCGTAATAGTAGAAGCAGAAAATGATATGTGAAGGAATTTTTCTCTGGCAACCAAATACTAACAATATTTAAATAATAACACCTGCAACCTTGAAGTTTTTGCTCTGTGTGGACTTGAATTTCAATCTACATATCCTGAACTTCTTTAGTTCTGGTGTATAAGTAGCGGTCAGTTTTGCCGATGTACCTACTACTGCAGGGTCTGAAATTTGCAGTGTCCCGATATCCTCAGGATATTAAAATTTGGTTTTGGATACCAAAACTGTGAATGACTTATATCCCAACTGGATACCAAAAAAATTTCAAACATTAGAAAAATGTTAAGCACCTCTGAAAGTCTCCTGAAAGCTTTTGAATAATATGAGTTTGCCATCCAAGTCTTTCCTCGTATTATGTGCATTTTTGTGTATAAATGAATTGTCTATAGTTGTTGACTGTTGAATCTCCTGTGTTATTGTAATTTGTAACAGTGAGAGTTGGGACAGGTTTTAATACTTATGAGTTATGGTAACCAGTATCCAAAAGTGGGATACTAAACGTTGAATCCTGGTATCCCAGTTGGATACTGAGAAAAAATGTAAATTTCCGACCCTGTATTACAACCAGGGCAAGTAAATTCATAGACAACAGTGCTTTGATAACTTGTTTTGCATTAAATTGTTAATATACTCAGTGGTTCTTAAAAGGCTAATCAATGCCTTTTTTAATGAATTTTCACTGGGAGGGCAAAACATGAAAAAAAGGCAGAACGAAAAATATGAGCCGTCGAGGTTTGGCTAACGCGCGAGTCTGAAGAGAGATTTTGTAAAACTTTAATTTATTAACTTCAGCTATATTTTACTTTAAACATTAACTTCAACTCTTTGTAGCTGCTATAACCAGTGGCGCAGCCAAACCTTAATTTTTTTTTTTTTTGGGGGGGGGGGCGAACCTCACGCCGAAGGCGTGAGACCGTCTAGGAGGGTCCGGAGGCATGCATCCCGGGAAAATTTTGAAATCTGGGTTCCCTGAATTGCGATTTCAAGCATTTTGAAGGTGAAATCTAGCAGAATTCTGAAGATTATAAAGTACATCGAAGACATAAATTTTCAGACATTTCTACTCGGAATTAAATAAATTGGAAAAGTCACCTTGAATACAAGATGGCTGTGGAGGAGGCTATGGAAGGGCATAATCTCATTATCAAGTAAATCAACTGCAATTCTGACAGCAATCATGAGCAATTCTGCTTTGCACTTCGGGGGCAGAATTGGCTTTACTGGGAGGGGGGCAAATTTCTGGGGGTCAATTGCCTCCCCAGATATAGTTAAAAAAGGCACTGAGGCTAATTAAAAACAAAGCATTTTCGTTCAAATAAAAAAGAGAAGACCATAGAGAACCCTAGGCTCAACAAGTGGTTGGCAAAGGAATTTTTAAAAAATTCAACATGTCCCCCAACCCACTTCAAACATTCATAAAATTGTCCTAATCTTATATGATATGTACATGCCACCTAAAAAATCTGCATATTTTGACAATGCACGCTCTTTGACGAACTTGAAAATGACCTAATTGCATTTGCATCTAAATTAAACACAATGATTCTTGGTGACTTTAATGCAAGAACAAATAACCTTGATAATTTTGTCTCTAGAGATGATGGTAATAATTTCATAAATGATACCAGTGAAAATTGCTTACAACCTCAAAACAGAGAAAATTTTGACAGTAATAGAAATAACCATGGAAAACAAATAATCAATATATGCAAAAATACTGACATGAGAATTCTAAATGGTAGAACCAAAGAAGACTCATTAGGTAGACCCACTTTTCATGGAAGAAAAGGTACAAGTGTTGTGGACTACATTATATGCGACCAAAATACTTTTCAAAATGCGAAATATTTTGCTGTCAAACCACCAAGTACATACTTGTCTGATCACAGCAAAATCATTGCATGGATTGATATTCAGAAAACAATAAATATTGACAAAAATAACTACCCCCAACCTCCATTGCATAAATTACCACTTCAGTTCAAATGGTCACAGAATTCTAATACTAGTTTCAGACAAACTTTGAAATCACCTGAAATCCAGCAAAACTGAACCAACTAATAAATTCAAACTTTACTAATGACATAAATGGAATCAATACTTGTGTGAATGAGTTTCAAAATATTATAATTGAGGCATCGAAAAAGTCACTGACAATAAGAAAAAGGGAAGTCAGATGAAAGTTAAGTAATGTGGTGGTTGTTGGCTAACAAAAAGTGGTTTGACAAAGAATGCCGGATAAAGAGACATGAACTTCGTAAACTTGCTAACCAAAAGCATAAGGATCAAAGAAATATTGATTTAAGAAATGCTTATCATTCCACATTAATTAAAAACATACCAAAAACTCTAGAAATTAAGAAAAACAATTTTCACCAGGAAAAGATAAATTAATTAAAAAAGGCAACTGAAAATAATCCAAATTTCTTTTGGAAAATTCTCCAAACAACTAATTATACCATCAAAAATAATACTATAATTCCAACAACTCCCCAAGCGAAGAAGACTGGCTTACACATTTCGGAAAATTACACTGCAAACATAGATTAACTGAAGAACATAAGAATCAATTTAATGAGTTTCACACAGAAATTACAGATTATGATTAAGAAAATAAAACTAAAAAAGGCAGCATATTTCCACAAAGTTAATAATAAAATGATCCAATCCAATCCAATCCAATCCAATCCAATCCATCCATCCATCCATCCATCCATCCATCCATCATACATACATACATACATACATACATACATACACACATACATACATACATACATACATACATACATACATACATACATACATACATACATACATACATACATACACACATACATACATACATACATACATACATACATACATACATACATACATACATACATACATACATACATACATACATACATACATACAGACAGACATTCTTCAAACACTCATTAATAATTCATAAGCTTAGTAACAAATCATGTCAACCATAATATGTCATGTGCAGTGGCTTTAAACCTAATTAAACACTCCTAATTAGTATTCTTTATAACTTCAGGAATTTTTCCTAGAGCATGGTCGAAATATTTTATTGGGATCTAATTTAATTCCTGATTTAAAAAAATGGGGTATTTAAAATTACCACATTTTTCAAATCGGGAATTAAATTAAATCCCAACAACTATAGAGGAATCTGTGTTTCAAGCACCTTAGGAAAGTTTTTCTGTTCAATCCTCAATGATAGATTAATGACTTTCCCGACCCTACCTAGCTTTTGGACGTCGAAATCCCAACCCTAAACTGTTTCCACTTAGAGGAAAAAGTTTGTGGAAAATTGAAATCCGAGGCAATATTAGGGAAATTTATCTTTGGATGTGGAAGCACTGACTAAACAAAATGGCGTCCGCTTGTTCGGAAAATTAAAAAAAAGTTTAAAAAAAAAAGTTAAAATCGACCTACCCTACCTAAGTTTTTATAAGAAGAAACCGGAAACCCAAATATTTTCTTTTTGGCCTAATGGGATTTCGAGCGAAGGCCCTTCGTCTAGAGTTACTACAGTTACTAGTGCAGACCCCAGACGAAGGGCCGTCACTCGAAACGTCGAAATTCTTCTTATATTTTTCAGGTAGTTGGATCCCTATCAACGAAAGCGTTTCAAAAGATGACTATTTAATTATTTTAACTAATATAAAAATTTTAATATCGATAATTGATAATTAGCTCTATTCATAATTGTAAATAATTAGACATTTGTAAAGTTACTCGTCTGATGCAACTCTTGACAATAAAGACTTGAAAGGGTAAATTATGTTTGCGCCATATTGCTTAGTTTGTTTTTCACACAAGCTCTTCACACAAAACTGGCCAAACAAGAAATAAAACTTGGGGGAAAATACTGACCACAGATTGTGTATTGGGAATTCTTGACTTGACTCCAACTTAGCCATGACCCTACTGTCTGCCGTACCCTTTCACTTCACCCTTTTCGACATTTCTGCCTCTAACTAAACACTGGTCGGCATACAATCTCATCTTGCTTTTAAAAATCCATACCGTTTTAGTCTGTGGACAATTAATGGCGTACATGTTACTGTCAGAAATATTCGAACAGGCATGAAAATCTTGTGGCAGGCATATGCGATGACAAACGTGCTAGCACCTTTTGCAGCAACTGATGTCGAGAAGCTTTCACTTGCTCCAATTTTCATAAGGAAGCCAGGAATGTCAAGACCACTGTAATAGAAAAAAAAACCAACATCGCAATCAAAATTAACCAACTCACACTAATCAATACTACAATGGGTGGGTAGTGGGGGGTGTATTCAGAACTGGAAAATAGGTATAAGAGAGTGGGAGAGCCCCAACCTGAATGAGGGCTCCAACTTGCCCAGGAGTTTCCTCTATGGGACGCACCAGATAAAGCTACTGCAATTTTGCTATTCAGCTGGATACAGGATATTGTTGATACAAAGTAAGGTTTAGCCTTTCATTTAAGGTAAAATCATGATTTTAATTACTGTAGTTATAAAGTGAGGGTGTTTATAATATTTTGACTGCAAATAAAAATATTAAAGACATCTCTACTTTTTTAATCAAATCAAATTTGAAAATTTCAACATGGGATAAAGTCCAGATAATGGCGGGTGTCATTCAACTCAACTTTGTCCCAAAGGTAAGCTAACGCTTGTGATTCACAACTTTTCATGTGATAGATAGATCACAGACATGACTTATCGCAATTTGGCCATTTGGTTTGACACAACAGATATGAAATGGTTTGACACAACAGATGACTTTAGATTATATGTACGGTATACCACTTTCAATATTGCCATTATTTGTAACCAACACTAATTCTAGGAAATTGTCACATGACTCTCCAGCCCGAGCTGGGAGGAAACACCGCAATTCTGGCTAATAAAAAAACACTGCAGATCTGATATATTAACTCCGGCACTCAGCACTAATTAATGTATGAGTCAAATTCAACCACGATCAGTCCGCCCCCCCCCTCCCTCCTGGGCAACCCCAGGCATTTCACTTAAGATTACCTCCGTATAGGCGGGAATTTGACCTCCCGGTCGAGCATTTGACCACTTGACAAAAACTTGCTCTAAAAATATGTGTACACTCTAGATAGTGCTTCAGGAGTTTTCTATTTTACGTCTTTTCGATAGTTTAAAAATTGCTTCTGAATCACAAATATCAATCATAGACATATGATACAATATGCCCGGTTGAACAAAAAGAAGAACTGACTTGCCTATTTTTCGTTCTTTTTAATTAATCTTGAAATAATGTTCGATTTAAATTTTAGCCAAAATTCCAGAACCAGGACTACCCCTATAGCAGGGCATTTGACAGTGGTTTCTGCCTGTTCGGGCAGGCATTTGACCATTTATTTTTTCAAAAGTCAAATTCCCGGGGGGCTGATCGCTGTTGGATTTGACTTGTACATAAATGAAGCCAAGGTAATGCACCAGTCAAAGTAACCCCCCCCCCCACCACCACCACCACAGACAAAGAGGGGATTTGGTGGGGATTTAGTGGCTTTTTGTCATCGAATTCTGTCCCAACCATGTCGGGAATTGGTTGGTTTTGTCATTCTGCCGAATTATGCAGGGAAGATAATGGGAATTGTCTGCGGCCATTTTGTACTATTTGGTACCGTTTTGTCGAATGGAATCCCCAGGTTCTACCATTTTATACCATGTGACAAAGGTCAAGGTGGCGTGCTCGCAAGGAAGTGAAATCGAGAGGTATTTTATAAATAGATTCATTTCTTTTCAATCTATATGTTAATACTGGTTAATATGTCCATCCATCCATCCATCCATGGAATCTATTGTTGTGGAAAGCTCGACATTTGTTTGTTTATATTAATATGTTTTTGTTCTTTTGAGTTTTGGAACAAAATATTAATATTTTAAAATGTGGTCTTTTTATGCGGCAGCCCGGAGATTATCCAGGAGATATTATATTATCCAGGAGATATTATATTATCCAGGAGATATTATATTATCCAGGAGCCAGTTGTTCAAAGCTAGATTAGCTTAACCCTGGGTTAACCTAAAATTCAAAGCAAACTTCCTGACAGCTTGTCTATAAATTTGGAAATATTTCTTCAGAGATCTTGTCTGGATCGATAGGAGTTTTCTTCTCTGAAGTTTTGAGATAAGCAGACGTGTAGAAATACACAAACTAAAACAGCCGGTTAAATTTTAACCCAGGGTTAGCGCTTGTCCAGCTTTGAACAACCGGCCCCAGGAGATAAATTCGCTCATACGACTTACAATTTTCCCCAGGGGGGTGGGGCATTTTTTGTCTTTTGCTAGAAAATTTTGTCCCATATTGTGGGGCATTTGTCTGTTCTGGTACGGTATTCAAAGTCAATCCCCACCTATATCCTGGGGTGGGGTCGGTGTTTACTTTGACTGGTGCATATGCACATCATTAACCCTTTAAGTAGCAAAGCACCCTGATGCACCCTACTTGATTGTTTTTACTCTAATGCCAGACAATTTTACTCCTCAAGGGGAGAATGCTGTCACTCAATGGGATAAATCAAATGGAAGCTACATAGTAGGTACCATGCCCAGGTAAATATGTTAATATACCAACCTACTAACAGCAATATAACACAATCCAAGCGAAGTCAGTGATATGAACGTATGAAACACAACTGCGGTAACTCCATACTTTGCGAACACCAAACTTAGCTTTTGCCTGCCCGTTTTCTTTGATGGATCATTGCTAGTGTCTTCAAGCTCTTGGTCACGCTTTATGTCAGGTCGTACATCATCGAACTTGTTGGACTCTTGTGACATCAAACGATAGCAATGTCGGTTTATTTGTGGTATTAAAGCCACACTAAGACGTCCTAGGCGAACACATTGTAATATCGTGCTGTTCCTCTGTTTAAAAACAGGTATTTTACAATAAAACTGCCTGCATTGTCGAGCGTACAATATCCAACCTGACATGTTTGTATTTTGGTGGCTGTTACGTAATCTGATATTGCTGTTTGGTCCAGTTTAATCTACAGCTCAGTGGTATGACTCAGGGATCTACATACCAACTGGAATAATAGATGAAACAACAATCTAATGTCAGTTTTACTCACTCGCATCATCAGAAGAAAAAGTCCCAGCTAAAATCACGGGTGTTAATTTTATACAATTATTCGACCTATAACCAGAAGCAGTTGTGAAAAATGCATAAAATTCTAAAACTTTTGTAAAATTAAAAAGGAGTATTTTAAGGAGTATTTTAAAAAGGAGTATTTTATAGTAAGACATTTTTAACCAAACCACGGGTTCGTTTTAATAACTCATGTTACTATCTGTCACGTTTTAGGGGGAGTGACTATTTTTAGACTTTTGTAATTTTGTATTCTCTTGTATTTTAAACTTAACCCTAATCCTAACC